GCCTGGCAATTTCTGACACGACCCGATAACCCGACACGACACGACACGAAATTAACAGGTGTTTGGGTCGACACGATAACGAATCGGGTCTTATCGGGTAACCCGATAAGCACCTGTTAAGATAACGGGTCGGGTCGGGTATACACGTGGGTAAACACGATACACGATAAGCAAAATATTATTTTTATAATTTTATAACCCCTAAAAAAATATTGTAATAATTATATACATTAATTTTACAATTTTATACCCCTAAAAATTATAATAAATATATATATATATATTAAATTAACTATAAAATTTATAATAATTATAATAATTATATATACTATAATAATTATACCCCCAAAATATTAAGTCTATCTATACTAATTATATTATATATATATATATATATTAAATTTTATAAAAATTATAATGCATATGAATTAATAATTTAATATGCATGATCATGCATTTGCCAACTTGCCGTCCTTTTTGGAAAAAAAAATGGAGGGAAAATGAAAATGTTAAGAAAAGTTGAAAATAAAACAAAAAAGTGAGGGAATTAGGGAAAGATGTTGGAGGGAAAAGTGAAAATGATAAGAAAAAGTTGAAAAGGAAACAAAAAAGAGAGGGAAAAATGAAAATTAATAGAAGTGGTGAGAAATTTTTTTTTTTTTTAAGTTATTAACTTTTTATCACACACATGACTGTCATGACATATCTCACTATTTTTATAATGAACACGTGACACGTGATGTATGTACTATTCCGTGTACCAGTCAATTATAATTTATACGTACAAAATAAATAGATTTAAATCTACTTAATAAATATATATACACACACACACACGGAACTTGATTGATGGCATACGAATTCTCCAAAACTAATTTCAACGATCCAAACCGTCAAAATTGTTTGTATATGCTTGGAGATCATATCAGCAAAAAATCACAAAAAAAAAACATTCAGAGATCAAGTAACGGGACAAAGCTTTTCAACGGTTATAAACGAAAAATCACGATTTAACGGTTATTTTAACTCCGATTTTGATAATTTTTTATAACTACACTTCTTGACCCTATATGAATACAATGAATGAATTCGATCTTCAATTTAAAATATTTACACAAGTGGATACCACAAAATCTTATGTTATACTTAATAAAAGTATAAATAAACTCTAAGTGTTAGTCAATCTATCGTTTTACGAATTCTCCAAAACTAATTTCAACGATCCAAACCGTCAAAATTGTTTGTATATGCTTGGAGATCACATCAGCAAAAAATCACAAAAAAAAAACATTCAAAGATCAAGTAACGGGACAAAGCTTTTGAATGGTTATAAACGAAAAATCACGATTTAACGGTTATTTTAACTCCGATTTTGATGATTTTTTATAACTATACTCCTTGACCCTATATGAATATAATGAATGAATTCGATCTTCAATTTAAAATATTTACACAAGTGGATACCACAAAATCTTATGTTATACTTAATAAAAGTATAAATAAACTCTAAGTGTTAGTCAATCTATCGTTTTACGAATTCTCCAAAACTAATTTCAACGATCCAAACCGTCAAAATTGTTTGTATATGCTTGGAGATCACATCAGCAAAAAATCACAAAAAAAAAAACATTCAAAGATCAAGTAACGGGACAAAGCTTTTCAACGGTTATAAACGAAAAATCACGATTTAACGGTTATTTTAACTCCGATTTTGATGATTTTTTATAACTACACTCCTTGACCCTATATGAATACAATGAATGAATTCGATCTTCAATTTAAAATATTTACACAAGTGGATACCACAAAATCTTATATTATACTTAATAAAAGTATAAATAAACTCTAAGTGTTAGTCAATCTATCATTTTACGAATTCTCCAAAACTAATTTCAACGATCAAAACCATCAAAATTGTTTGTATATGCTTGGAGATCACATCAGCAAAAAATCACAAAAAAAAAACATTCAGAGATCAAGTAACGGGACAAAGCTTTTCGACGGTTATAAACGAAAAATCAAGATTTAACGGTTATTTTAACTCCGATTTTGATGATTTTTTATAACTACACTCCTTGACCCTATATGAATACAATGAATGAATTCGATCTTCAATTTAAAATATTTACACAAGTGGATACCACAAAATCTTATGTTATACTTAATAAAAGTATAAATAAACTCTAAGTGTTAGTCAATCTATCATTTTACGAATTCTCCAAAACTAATTTCAACGATCAAAACCGTCAAAATTGTTTGTATATGCTTGGAGATCACATCAGCAAAAAATCACAAAAAAAAAACATTCAGAGATCAAGTAACGGGACAAAGCTTTTCGACGGTTATAAACGAAAAATCAAGATTTAACGGTTATTTTAACTCCGATTTTGATGATTTTTTATAACTACACTCCTTGACCCTATATGAATACAATGAATGAATTCGATCTTCAATTTAAAATATTTACACAAGTGGATACAACAAATCTTATGTTATACTTAATAAAAGTATAAATAAACTCTAAGTGTTAGTCAATCTATCGTTTTACGAATTCTCCAAAACTAATTTCAACGATCCAAACCGTCAAAATTGTTTGTATATGCTTGGAGATCACATCAGCAAAAAATCACAAAAAAAAAAACATTCAAAGATCAAGTAACGGGACAAAGCTTTTCAACGGTTATAAACGAAAAATCACGATTTAACGGTTATTTTAACTCCGATTTTGATGATTTTTTATAACTACACTCCTTGACCCTATATGAATATAATGAATGAATTCGATCTTCAATTTAAAATATTTACACAAGTGGATGCCACAAAATCTTATGTTATACTTAATAAAAGTATAAATAAACTCTAAGTGTTAGTCAATCTATCGTTTTACGAATTCTCCAAAACTAATTTCAACGATCCAAACCGTCAAAATTGTTTGTATATGCTTGGAGATCACATCAGCAAAAAATCACAAAAAAAAAACATTCAAAGATCAAGTAACAGGACAAAGCTTTTCAACGGTTATAAACGAAAAATCACGATTTAACGGTTATTTTAACTCCGATTTTGATGATTTTTTATAACTATACTCCTTGACCCTATATGAATATAATGAATGAATTCGATCTTCAATTTAAAATATTTACACAAGTGGATACCACAAAATCTTATGTTATACTTAATAAAAGTATAAATAAACTCTAAGTGTTAGTCAATCAATCATTTTACGAATTCTCCAAAACTAATTTCAACGATCAAAACCGTCAAAATTGTTTGTATATGCTTGGAGATCACATCAGTAAAAAATCACAAAAAAAAAAACATTCAGAGATCAAGTAACGGGACAAAGCTTTTCGACGGTTATAAACGAAAAATCAAGATTTAACGGTTATTTTAACTCCGATTTTGATGATTTTTTTTAACTACACTCCTTGACCCTATATGAATACAATGAATGAATTCGATCTTCAATTTAAAATATTTATACTAGTGGAATTTATATACTTAATAAAAGTATGAATCAACTATCATATTAATAATTATATACATTAATTTAATAATTTTATGCAGAAGAGAGTTCTGACGTGGAAAATCTTACTGAAAACATCTTCAACATAACTCTTGAAGGCAATAGATCAAGCCAAAGTTCCAATATAATTTCATGATGTTCGATGTAAATTGAAGATTTTGTAAATGGAGGTGTAAACTTTTAAGAAAGACTTACAATCTTAAAAACAAAAACTCTTTATCCTTGCACATTTAATATTTGTAATAGATTAGTAGTGTATGTATTATTTTTTTTATTAGGCTTTCATTTTCGAGTGTAGATATAGTACTTGAACGAGAAATGTTTTAATGTTTTCAAGTAATATTTATGTCGCAATGTGTGGTATGTGCAAATTGTAAAAAAATATATTTTTTTCTTAACGGGTCATAACGGGTCATAACGGGTCGGGTCACTTTACCCGTTGGGTAAAGTGACACGACCTGTTAAGGACCCGTTAAGATAACGGGTGTGACACGACACGACCCGTTAAGATAACAGGTGTTACACGAAAACGACACGAACACGACAGACACGACCCGTTTGCCAGGCCTACTATTTATATATTTAATTTTAAATTTTAAAATGATTTTTAACCGCACGATATACGATAATCAACCTCGATCACAAAATCCTTATGGTACCCAAGAAAAGAATCTGGCAAAAATCCTTTTACAGATTACCATAGATAACTGCCGGATCCTTTTCCAGATTACTATAGATCACCTTAACTATATTAAATGATTATGTCGTAAATAAAATCTATATATTGTAAGGTGTGACTCACATACATGATACATGTTGTAGTGAGGATCCTTGATATCCACAACCAAAAATAAAAAATTGAAGTCTCTATTTTTGTTCTGGTTATACATTAATATTTACATTCTGCTTCGTAATTAAAGAATGCTTCTAATAAAATGATTATTCAAAAATATCAAATTTCAAACGTCTTTCAATTAGAAATAAAAATACCACTTGGTATACGGAAATTGTGATTATTAATTTAATTAAAACCCCTCATCGAAAAATAAGAGAACATATATATACTTTGCATATATGCTTAAAGATATTACTATTCCTAGTAACCTTATAACTAAGCATAACCTAGTAACTTGAACTTGTAACTAAGTAGGTCATGAACATAATTTGTGGTCTTAGTTTGTTCAATTTGGGTGAAGTCAAGTCACACAAAGCACTCTCGTAAACCCTCAAAACTTTTGTTGCTCCACCCCGCACCCGCAAGGGTGAAAACCCATCACTGTCTTGGTCGTACCATAATAAAAAAGTGTGTCATTAATTGTTTAAGAGGAAATGAAACAAAGGATACAGTAAAGGAAAGATTTGATAAGGTATTTCAACTTCTGTGAAAGTATATATGTTTGGATTGGCGAAGAAAATGAAACAAAAGATACAATAAAGAAAAGATTTGATAAAGTATTTCAACTCCCATGAAAGTATATATGTTTGGAACAACGGAGAAAATTAAGCTCGGCATTTAGACTACAAAAGCTCATTATTTCACTAATACCTACATTCCCAAAAGTCATCTGCCACTTCCTTTGTATGAAAGGATTTCACTGTACACAAGTTAAACAATGATCAAGTTTTTCAAAACACTAATAGTCGACAATCAATTTTGTTCAGTCATAAATTTTTGGGAGGACGAAGATGCATGATTCAAAAGCAGCTCTGATTCCTCGTTAGTTCGCTTGTAACGATTCGTCTTTCAGCAACTTACGGCTAAGCACATTTAGCAATGCTCTTGAATATTGACGAGAAGCCATTTTCCAGTCCATGCCAGTTTTCATCATTGCTTTAAACTCTTCAAAACCTATTCGCCCATCCTATTAAAACACACATCAAAATCGTTAAAATGTGTAAGTCTGCAAGTACACTACTACGGTACCAACTTAACTCTTCATTTTCTGGACATCGTTCGTACTGTGTTCCCAGACTGCTACGAACTTAATCTTAAACTCTAAAACTTGTGTTAGTAATATCGAAAAGCAGAAAACTTAAGTTGGTACCAATAGTATAAATCAGAAAGCATATTAAGTTGGTGGATTTGTAAGAATTCAAATGGTATACTAGAAAATTAATTACCTTGTCCAAGTCAACATCGAATATGATGTCTTGGATAACCTGCTCGTTATCTGGACCAAGTTTGTCATCCAGCAATGCTTCTCTCAACTCATCGAACTCAATATATCCGCTGTTATTCTTGTCGAAATAGCCAAAAGCTTGATGGAGAAATTCATCGCTGTCTATCTTTTTTAAGTGAACAGACACCATAACGAATTCATCGCAGCTCAGTGTGCCATTTCCATCAGCATCCGCCTTTTAAATATGTACAGAGAGATTGTTAGATATGGTAGAATGTGAAAATGAAAAGAGATTTAAAAAATAAAATAAAATAAAAAAAAGGCGTCGAGCAAAATAAACTCACAGCATCCAACAACATCTGCACATCAGGATCAGCGACATTGTGTCCGATCTTCACAAGACCATCTCGAAGTTCTTCAAAAGTCAAGGTTCCATTGTTGTCAATGTCCATCATTTCGAATATCTGTCTGATTCCATCTATTTGATCCTCTGGCAAGTTATCCGCCACCACCTGAAGTTATGAATAATTCAGCTGGTAACAAGGCTTGTGAAAGCATCAAAGAACCACCTTTAACAATTAGTGAAAGAACAGAGATTTGGGAAATTGCATACTCTAAGAACTTTCTTCTTGAACTTATTCATTAACGAGAACTGCTTGATCCTTAATGTGACATTTTCTCCCAGAGGAACATTAGGAACTTGATTCGCGTTTCGTATCCACGGATGATCTTCATATAAAATGATAGGGAATGGTTAGTACAATTTTTATGTACTCCACTTCAGAACAACTACTGCATTTTCAAAGACATGCTAAGTGAAAGAAACACAGCCATTGTATACGATATTTTTTGCTCAAGCATCTGTAAAAACATACGTACCTAGGACTTCTTCAACTTTGAGCCTGTTGCAAGGATTTGGATCAAGCATGCTCCTCACTAGTTCTTTTGCTTCCTCCGAAACGTTTTTCCATGTCTCCCTCTCAAAATCTATTGTACCCCGAACAATAGCCTGTGCAATTCCTTCCTCAGTTTCTGGACTAGGTATAAACCAAACATTAGAAAGCATTCTGGGAAACAATATCTTCACTCATTTTTTGCAAATCATATGCACTGAAGTTAACCAGATTCTTGAGAATTGAAGAAAAAAATTAAATTCAACCACAACCCAAATTTAAAACGAATTTACCTGCCCAAAATGGAGGCACTCCACAAAGTAGGATGTATAGGATAACCCCTGCGCTCCAAACATCAACTTCTGGCCCATAATTACGCCGTAGCACCTCCGGAGCCATGTAATATGGACTTCCAACAATTTCGTTGAATCTCTGACCTACCAAAATATTGGCAAGATTCGAAATCAACAACATTCGAAAAAGCAATCAGAAAGAGAGGTCATGTTTTGGAAGATACCTGGTTCGAAAAATATAGAGAGGCCAAAATCAATTGCCTTCAATTCTGCATTTTCACTACTATCTGCAAAAAGGAAATTCTCTGGTTTCAGGTCCCTATGTATCACTCCATGCTTGTGGCATACCTGCAAAAAAATTAAAAAAAATTAAAAAAAATAATCAATTAGATGAAACACCCCGACAACTTCAAGAGAACGGAACTCAAAGATATATATATATATATATATATATATATATATATTATATATATCGATACCTGGCAAATCTCAAGTATTGTCCTGGTAACAGTGGCGGCAGCGCGCTCCGTGTAATGCCCTTTTGCCACAATCCTATCAAAGAGCTCGCCGCCTTCGCAAAGCTCCATGACAAGATAAACTGCCTCCCTATCCTCATAAGCCTCCTTGAAGCAGACAATATTCGGATGCTTAGGCAAACGGCGCATGATCTCAGCCTCCCTCCTCACATCCTCGACATCAATCTCCGTCTTCAGCTTGCTCTTCGATATGGTCTTGCACGCAAAAGCCTCCCCCGTCTCCCTGTGGACGCATCTGTAGGTGATTCCAAACTCCCCTCGCCCTAATTCATTGCCAAACTGGTACTTGCCGAAGATGTCATTACCGGCAGTCTTGTCCAGCACCCATATAATAGTGCTGTGGTGGGCAACTGGAGCAACGAACGACCTGCGCGGTGACGAATCGTGTACACTGCTTTGAGGTAAAGGTTTGATGATGTCTCTTCGTCTGTGGTGGAAACCTGCTTTCGCAGGTGTGCATACGCAGCTTCCCATGGGAATGAGGAAGGGGTAATTTGGTCAATTAAATCTGCAACATCGATCCCATGGGAAGAGAGAGAGGGAGAGAGAGGCAGAATGCTAGAAAGAGAGAGAGATTGAAGAGAGACACTAATTTTGGGAAATGTATGCGTCTGGGAATAGTTTTGAAAAACAGTTGGTTTTGGTTTTAAGGCGTCCCGCCATTTTCTTAGGGTTGTTTTGTTACTGTTACACTTGACGGCACAGCTTTACTGTCGTTAGGTATATCCCCGTCGTCAATCTGTGTCATTTGGTAGCCCTGCGAACTAACGCCGTCAACCGAAGTCAAGTGTGGTCGTTGCTTGGTATTTTGTTAATCAAAATTATTAATTTGCATAAATTAAGAAAATATAGTGTCATAACCATCAATCACTAGCTTTCTTAATTTAGATGGCATGAACACGTATAATAACAAACAGGTTGAGTTAAATAACATTATAGGGGCAGATCGTTTTATTTTCAAATTGCGAATTATCAAATCAACAGTTAAACGGTGCTGTTTGATTCTATTCAAGCTTAAAATGAACAATATATCCTCTAATTTTAGTGTGTACAAATAAGAAACTGATCGAACACGAAAGATTATCAATATTATATGCTTACTTGCAATATTTGTTATTTCTATCACACTTGTAATATTGTTATTTCTCTCACACTCCTTGGCTGCCTTTCCAAAATCTCATGTTCCACCATATTCTCAGAATTGTAGGTTTGGCCACACAGGTTGTGTGAGGGTGAGTATTAAACTTTTCAATACCAACTAGCGTTTCATATGGGCGATGCTTCAAGTTCGAATCTCTGCCTCCATCAATAAAATAAAAGTGTGTACTAGACTTTTCGATGCCTTGTGAAGTTGTGGTTCTTGTGTTTAGACCATCTGACTCGATCAATTAATAAACTTGCCGGCTTGAAGTTGACATACAATTAGTCCGTTAGGCTTCATGTTAGTTCTCTTGAAAATTTGACTTATTTGGCATGCTGGTCTCAATTTGTTCGAATGTTTCTGCTTAAGAGCTGCATTTTGGCTTAGTTACATAAATTACATTAGGTTTTTTTGTCAAATAAATTACATTAGGTGATTCATGTTTCATTTTCTTTTAGTTTTAGTTTGTTTCCGGTCGTTGGTGGTTCCGTCTAGTCTCAACCTTATGTGACCTAAATGTGACAGTGATCAAATAGAATGAAAAATAGCTACCAAGAGAATAGCAAATCACTAAACTCCCGAAAAAATTTAATTCCGGTCGTTGGTGGTTGCCTCGAGTCTTCACCTTGTGTAATCTAATGAGTTACAAAGTGAGCATAAGATGAGATGGAACGAACCGCGACGGCAAGCGGAGAGGGTGGAGAAGCATCCTACGTGTTGGGTGCAGCCTCCGATTCGTACAATCAAAGTCAATTGTGTTGGTGCTTGGGTTAAAGAAACTGGGAAGGGAGGATATAGTTGGGTTGCCTGTGATTTTGCAGGAATCTTTAAAGGGGCAGGTGGCTTGGGAAACATCCTCTGCGGGTCCAATTTGATGGCAGATGCCGAAGCAATATGGGATGTTATGATGGCTTGCGTGGAGCGAAATATTTTAATTTTGTGCAATTGGAAACGAACTTCAAAAGAGCCTTATGGAAATGCTTAATGGTGTTATTGAGGTATTATCTTTCATATACAATGTATTCAACAACAACGGAGCTCAGTAGAGTTTATTTTTGCTCCTATAGTATGTAATAGGGCCGCACATCTAGTGACTTCTTTTGTTTCTCGAACAGGTGGTATCCATATTTGGGATTGTGTTGAACCATAATGGTTTTTTAATACTCTAACTTCCGATGTGAACGTTTCTATTCGGATTTAATATCATTTCAATTTTGACAAAAAAAAAAAAAAAGTTGCGCATTCAATATAGACGACATTAACAAAAAAATATATGCATTGACAATTTGGTAGCAGAACAGCATCTCAACCAGTTGGTAAGAGCAATGGTAATTCGAGGGCAATGGCAATAAAATTGTCCTTACTTTTACTCTCTAGTCAGTACTTGCTTGTGTGCAAGTCTATCAGTTTGAAAAAAGAAAGGGCAAGAACAATTATTATTCACTAACATATTTTTTTTTTATAATATTTTCTTCATCTTGTCACCACATATCCTTGTCGTCCTAGATTTCATCGTCAATATAAGGCGTCCCATTTCACCGTAGAGTTCAATTTTTTATTTTTAAAGTCCTCGTCATCCTATGACTATCACCCTTTGTACACAACATAAGGCGCCCCATTTTGGAATCACCTTTGGTGTCCAATGATCTTTCCAAATCATACTCAACAAAATATCTAATTGAGTTATCTGATTTCGAGACGGGAATAATATCGAATGGGGAAGATCCATACAACTTTTTTTAAAAAAATGGAACTGAATTTCCATCACCGAAAAGTTTACAACATCCCCATTCATTTACAAGTACAACTATTACATACTTTAGAAGCAAAAGTAAACTCTACTGACCTTTGTTGCATACATTGTATATCAAAGAGAATACCTCCAATAACACCATTAAGCATTTCCATAAGGCTTTTGAAGTTCGTTTCCAATTGAACAAAATTAAAATATTTCGCTCCACGCAAGCCATCACAACATCCCGTATTGCTTCGGCATCTGCCATCAAATTGGACTCACAGAGGATGTTTCCCAAGCCACATGCCGCTTTGAAGATTCCTGCAAAATCACAGGCAACCCAACCATATCCGGACGCAGATTCTTTACCCTTCCATTTTTCGTGCCTTTCTGTTTTGTACGGTCATGATTAAGTCACATCAACATTTTATATTTTTTTTTATAGAGATAATAAGACAAAAATGAATAGTAATAATATAAAATGTTGACGTGACTTAACTGTGATCACACAAATAGGAGGATACGAAAAGTGGAAGGGGCAGAGATTTTCCGAAACCTAGCATGTCGTGCAATGTCTCAAATCACAATTCGCATAAATAATAAACACTAGTGAATGTCCGATATAACACTTCAGGCCCCATGCCGGCTCCCCGTCTCTGAGCACACAGTCAGAGGAAAATACACTTCAGGCCCCGTGCCGGCTCCCCGTCTCTGAGCAGACAGTCAGAGGAAAACACACTCCAGGCCCTATGCCAACACCAAACCGTCGCCCGGGACGGACCGGATCTATCCCTACGTCCCGTAGCGGAAAGGACCACTAGGTAAGTACAAAACCAGTGAACATACATATATTGAAAATCAACTTCATAGTATAAAGTCATCCATCATCTATACTATAAAGAAGTGTTCTAAACATGTTCTAAATATCATATCGTCATCCATCAGATATTCTATAAGAACATGGGTTATAGAAAAAATAGTAATAATTCAAACTAGCCTTAGTAAGCATGTTATCTCGTAAAACGTTTCATAAAACATAATCATAAAGTCATGCTTTTCTGTGTATGCAATTCTACCATTAAAACATGCATTTTTAGAAGGGGTCCACTCACAGTACTTCGCCGTCGAAAAGCCACGCCATCTAGCAAAGAAGGAAACGCCACAGATAATCGCCCCTAAGCACATAAACGGTACATTTAGTCAAACTCTACTCAAACGATTGAATTTGGAAAAACGGACATCGGAAACGGGTTCAGGACGTCGAAATTAGCCTAGGAGGGGTCCCGCACGAAAACCGAAAAAGTCAACCCCGAGGTCAAAGTCAACGGTCAAAGTCAACGCTGACGTTGACTGGTCAACGCTGACCGTTGACTAGTCAACGGGTCAAGGTCAACGGGTCGTGGGTCAACCCGTCAGAGTCAACCCGGGTCAACCCGGTGTAGGGTTTGGGTAATGGATCCGGGTTTGGGCCTAAGGGTTTGGGTTAGGGTAATTGGGTTTAGGTTTTAGGGTTTTGGGTTAGGTTTTTAAGTGGGTTGGGTTTGGGTAAAAAGGAAAATGGGTTTGGGTTTTGGGCTAACAGAAAATGGGTTTGGGCTGCAACCAAGGCCCTAAGGCCTTTGGGTTTGGTGGTCGCCGGATTCCAAGGAGGGGGAAGGCCGGATTTCGGCCGGAGAATTCCCAAGCTCCGTTGGAGCTCAAAACTCAACCAAAACATGTCATTCAATATACCAAATTGAAGCCCCGAAGGTAAGGAATCGAAATATACCCTTGGTTCCCGTCATTGTGGCCGGAGTTGGCCGGAAAACAGCCTGGAAGCCACGGATGTCTGCCGGAAACTGGGTAAGATTCAAATGAGCGTAACTTCTTCAATACTTAATGAAATTAGGTGAAACAAAAAGGAAAGTTGTAGTACTCAGCGAGACGAAGAGATTGATACCTCGCACGCCGGCCAACTCGCCGTGGTTTGGCCGGAAATCGCCTCGAAAGGGACGGTGCTCGCCGGAAAACTGGGAAATGTCTTCCGAGGTGGTTTCTTCGTGGTTTGACGTCCAAAACACAACCACGGGGTTAGAAAAGAGTTATAGGTGCGGGCTTGGGTGTGTGTGTGTGTGTGTGTTCTTGTCGGACCGAGAGGGAGAGAAAGACAGAGAGAAGAGAGAGTGAAGGAGAGGAGAGAGAGACTTTTCAGAAAAAAGGAAAAGGGGAAAGGGAAAGGGAACGGGGGACAAAAACAGGGGGTGGGCCCCTTGGGCTCACCAATTAAGGTTCAAAAACAATTTTAAAAATAAAGGTATCCCCAAACTTAGTGAAAATACAAAAATACCTATTTTCTTACGTAAATCCCGGAACGGGTTCTTACAATCTGCCTCAACCATATCCTCCCTTCCCAGTTTCTTTAACCCAACCACCAGCATAATTGACTTTGATTGTACGAAACGGAGGCAGCACGCAACACGTAGGATACTCCTCCACCCTCTCCGCTTGCCGTCGCGGTTCGTTCCATCTCATCTTATGCTCACTTTGTGACTCATCAATCTCAAGCCACTGTTGTACTAATCTCAATGCCTCCATAGGTTCCACGCTTTTTCAAAAATCCAACTATTCGTACACTTCCACAATCTCCAAAGGCCACAAGCTACCCAACACTCCAAAAAAATCATCCCCTTCAACCAAATTCGGATCAAGTTGAATTTGTGTCCCAGACCAAAAAA